TCGCGATGCGTATCGCCCATGACCATCCAAGCGTAAAAACTTTTGCAGGCATATTCGCTGGCATTTGCTCCAACGATTTTCACATCCCCGGGCATCAAAATTGTGAATTTACGCCTATAATATCACGTGCACTGCGCGCGTTGGCCGACGCAGGCACGCGCGTCATGCGCATCATTCGTGGGTGTGTATGTAATGTTTTTGTGACTGTAAAAACGCGTAGTGTTATTATAGCCGTAAATCCCATTTTGTTGCAATGGGGGGCGTGAATAATGTTGGAGGCCGAAAATGCAAGCGAATTTCCCTGGCTAAAAAGTTTTAACGCTTGACTGGTCATTGGGCGATACCATCCGCGAGAGGGGAGTAAGGAATGATGTCCCGTATGACGCAATCAATCGCCGCGTATGGTGTTGTTAGTACAGTGCTAGATGCTAAACTGCCATCTATGAAAGCAATAGGGGGAGAGAAATACTGAGGGGAAATAAATGAAGAGGGGAGGAGGAAGGAAAGAGGAGAGAGGGACGGAGGGATGGAATAATGCAAACGGAGATGTGCACACGCATGCGCAGTACACACGCGCAGACAATCGCACGTACGGCACAAACGGCACACATACATGCAGACACGGCGGATGCACAGATTCCTTCTAATATAGTTACTTCTCTCGCCTTCTCGCTCACCCTCTCCCTCTCAGTGACCTTTACTCCCCTCTCTCTCTCTCTCTCTCCGCTTCTCTCAACTCTCTCTCTCCTCATCTCATCTCTCTCGTCTCATCTCTCTCTTCTCTCTATCTTCTCTCTCTCTCTCTCTCTCTCTCTCTCTCTCTCTCTCTACCCACCACGACATCCAGGCACACACACAGCACACACACCCTTCTCTCTATATCTCTCTTCTCTCTCTCTCTTCTCTATCTTACCTCTCTCTCTCTCTCTCTCGTTCTACTCTCACTCTCTCTCTCTCTCTGCTCTCCTCTCTCCTTCTCTCCTCTCCTCTCTCTCTCCTCTTCTCTCTCTCTCCCTTCTCCTTCCTGTCTCTCCTCTCTCTCCTCTTCTCCTCTTCCTTCTCTCCTCTCTCCTCTCTCTCTCTGGCCTCTCTCATCTCACCCACAATATTTCTCTTCACGCACGCACGCAGCGCACGCACGGCACAGACACCACGCACTCCACAGAACGCTCCTATAGACACGTCTGTTTGCACTTATTTGGCATACATGTCTGCCTAACATAAAAACGTTACCTATACAACAAGTTACAGAAAATTTCAAGGCAAGACTGAACAGATTCGAACCCCGGTTCATAGATAGCAGTTTAAGGCGTTCTAACCTCAGTAACAACACCACATCCGTAATTCACGTCGTTTAACGTAGATTACGTTCATTACATACTCATTCTTACTTCTCCTTCTTTCTCTCGGATGGTATGCGCCATGACCAGTCCAAGCGTAAAAACGTTTTGCGGGAAATTCGCTGCATTTCGGCTGCAACATTTTCACTCCCGGAATGCACAAGAATGGAATTTACGCTATAATACACGGCACTCGCGCGTGCGAACACATGCGTGTGTGGCCGACCCATGATGGGTGTGTATGTATGTTTTTGTGACTGTAATAATAACGCGTGTATAGCCGTCAAATCAATTTTTTGTGCAATGGGGAGTGAAAACGTTGGAGCCGGAAATGCAGCCTAATTTCTCTGCAAAGATTGTTTAACCTTGACTGGTGCATCGGGCCGATACCATCGCGCAAGAGGGAGTAAGCAAGGTGATGTACGTAACTGACGAAATTATTGGGCGCGTATATTTGTTTGTTAGTATACAGTGGCTTAGAATGCTACAACTGCATCTATGAAAGCAATCAGGGGGATGAGAAATACTTGAAGGGAACATCAATGAAGAGGGGAGGAGGAAGGAAAGAGGAGAGGGGACGGAGCGGAGTGGAATAATACAGAACGAGTATGTGCACACGCATGCGCAGTACACACGCGGTGCAGACAATCGCTACGTAACGGCACAAACGGCACAACATGACATGCAAGACAACAGGCGGATGGCACTAGCATTCGCTTCTATTATACGTTACTTCTGCTCGCCTCTCGCTCACGACCTCTCCCTCTCAGTGAACCTTATACTTTCCCTCTCTCCTCGCTCTCTCCTCTCTCTCTCTCTTCTCTCTCTCTCTCTCTCTCAGCACATCACACACACACACACACATTCACACACACACACACACACACACAGGCACGCTTTCTCTCTCTCTATTCTCTCTCCTTCTCTCTCTCTCTCTCATCTCTCTCTTCTCTTCTCTCTCATCTCTCTCTCTCTCTCATCTCTTCTCTCTTCTCTCTCTATCTCTACTTTTTTGTCTCTGCTCCTCCCTCCCCCCGTCTCATCGTTCTCTCTCGTCTTTCTCTGTCCTCTTGCTTCTCATCACACACAATATTTCTCCTTCACGCACGCAGCGGGTTCACGCCGCACGCACACACCCACACAACACGCTTCGATAGACAGGGTCAGTTGTTTTGCATCATTCTTTGCATCATGTCTGCAATAGTTTACGCTAATAAACAAGTTACAAAGATGATTGAACGCAAAGAATGAGACAGATTCGAACCCCGGTTTCATAGATATGCAGTTTAGCGTTCTAAACCTCTGTTACTAACAAACATACGTGTCGATTACGTCGTGTTAACGTAAGATGAGTACGTCATACATACATGCACTGTCTTACTCCCCTCTCGCGGATGGTATCGCCCTGACCAGTCAAGCGTAAAAAACTTTGGCAGGAAATTCGGCTGCATTTCGGCCCAAATAATCATTTCACTCTGCCCGGGGCAACAAAATTGTGAATTAACGCCCTATAATAAACGCACGCGCTGCGTGCGACGACGACGCGTGTGTGCGCGACGTCCAATGAGTGGGTGTGTATGTATGTTTTTGTGACTGTAAAAACGCGTAGTATAGCCGTAAATCCAATTTTTGTGCAATGGGGGGTGAAAATGTTGGAGCCGAAATGCAGCGAATTTCCTCCAAAAGTTTTTTAACGCTTGACTGGTCATGGGCGATACCATCCGCGAGAGGGGAGTAAGGAAGTGATGTACGTAATGACGAATCATCGGCGCGTATGTGTTGTTAGTACAGTGCTTAGATGCTAAACTGTCATTTATGAAAGCGATAGGGGGAGAGAAATACTGAGGGGAAATAAATGAAGAGGAGGAGGAGAGGAAGATAAGGAGAGAGGACGGGGAATGGAATAATGCAAACGGAGATGTGCACACGCATGCGCAGTACACACGCGCAGACAACGCACGTACGGTCCACAAACGAACACATAGAGGCACGGATGCACAGATTACTTCTAATATAGTTACTTTCTCATCCGCTCTTCTCGGCTCGCCCTCTCCCTCCTTAGTGACTTCACT